AGGTGCCCAGTGCTGTGAGAGCTTAAAACAGGAGACCTGTCTTGTTCTGGAGGAGGGCATCATGGAAGCCTTCCCAGAAGTGATGTTTGAACTGAGATCTTCCAGAGGACATTGAACCATTTGAGGGAAGAGCTTGGGAAAGAACATTCCAGGAAAAGGGAACAGCGAGTTCAAAAGCCCTGAGGCAGGAAAGAAATTATGTACTTTTGCTGGTAGATTTTTGTTTTAATTATCAGGAAGTCTGCACTTGATGTGGAGATTTGGGGGGACCCTGCAGATGCAAAACAAAATCTGCACTGTGCATAATAATCTGTATCTGAGAAAATTACTGGACTTCAAGATTTATTTAGATATGAAACCATCAGGAACCATGGCTTATTTATTCAGCAAACGTTTCTCAGTGGGACCCTGGGGGAGGGTGTTGAAGGAGGGAGGCACAGAAGTACACGGAGTTGATCAGGCAAAGCTTTGGAGGAGTTGGGACATTTTTTCTAAGAGCAATCAATAGGAAGCTACCAGAAGATTATGAAGAAGGGGAGTGACAGCGATAGGATTTCTGTTTGAAAAGTGGAGGGAACGCTCTAGGGAGAATGGATTGGTGAGGAGCAGAGTGGACGCAGGGAGAACAGGTAGGAGGCCACGGCAGTGGCCCAGCAAGCAATGACGGTGCTGTGGGTGAAGATGGTGGTGATGGGGAGAAGGGACACAGCTTCCTGGGTTCCATTCAGCTGCATGGATGCTAGCTGGGTGCTCCCCTAGCCCCTCCTCTGCCTGGCCCAGGACCCACCCCCTGGGTTTGCTCTCCACCCCCCTCCCAAGAAGGGCAGTGAGAGTTGCTCAGGCCCCTGGGCTTATGTGCCTTCTGGTTCCTCAGTGGGCCCTGCTTCCCGCGGCCCAAGCCGTTCAGCTTGGCTCCCAAGGAGGTCTTTTTCTCCAGTGAGTGGGTCTGAAGAATGACGGTGCCGTCACTAATCTGCTCCTGTCCCCGCGTACTGAGGAGGGCGCTTGGCAGGAGGTTGCTCGGGTGTGTGCACTGCAGCCCCGAACCCGGAGGAGAGCTAGGGAATTGCTGCTGCTGGGGCCCCCTGCCCTCTCCTCGCCCCAAAACAAACGAAGGGAAAGCTTGAACTTTCTTCTTTCACAAGGAGACACATTTCTGTGTTTGTGACTGGGAGAGAATATGTCTTAAAGCTGCCTTTTCTGGTGACAACAGGAATACAATCCTATCGGAGAAAATTGGAAAGTACGAATAAATAGAAGGAAGACTAACCAGTATTCATACCACTACCCTGCATTTTTGTATATTTTCCCAGTCATATATACTTATTTTTAAATAGGTCATACATACTGAATATACTTGTGCATCTTGCTCTTTTCACTTTGTGTTTTAAGCATTTCCCTGTGTCGTTAAAACCTCTCCACACACAATTTTTAGTATCTGCAAAGTAGTCTTTGTTTTTGAAAACATATTTTACATAACCTTTTCCTATCTGTTGAAGAGTTGGCTTGTGTGTAACTTTTACCATTGCAAGGAGGTCTGTGCTGAACGTCTTTGTTTATAAATCTTTACCTGCATTTTGGATGCCCTCTCCCCCTATAGATGTCTAGGAGGGAGACTAATGAGGGGAGTTGTATAGACAAGCCAGGAAAGAAAATCTCTGTGTAGGATAATTCCCATCAAAAGGTAACTCTGCTCCTATCAGGGGGTGTAAAGGATGGGCCGTGCTTTTCCCTCTGTAAGGACCCCGTGCTCCCCACGTCACTTCTCCATTCGCCAAGCAGTGGCCACTAGGTGTCTGTGTGTCAGGAATTACCTCTTTTCTCTAGAGACCCCGCTGGATTAAGGGCTTGAGCGGCAGCTGGGGCTGGGATTTCATCGGTTTCTCTCCATCTTGTGGCAGAGCGGAGAGCCCTCCAGGCCTGGGAGTCTGGCTCCGCTATGCAGCCAGAGAACCAGCTAAGCAACCTTGAGCGCTGTCATTTCCCCTGTAGGGGCCAGTTTTCTCATATGTAAAACAAGCCGAAAAAGGCAGGAGTTGGGGATTGACCGGATTTTGTTATTGTTGCCATTTAAGCAGCAGAACCCTTATTTCAAATTAAATTTTACCAGAACCCTCATCTATAAAACAGATTAAGGGCCAACTGTCCCAGTAGAAGCAGGGGAGGAGTGGGAGGGGGGAGGGGATGCTCTAGTCGGAAAACTCTGGCCTAGAGGATGGAAGTTTCACTCCAGTTCAGTTCAGTTCAGTTCTCTTCCCTGTTGCTGAAGTTAAAAAACAATTATCTTTCATCTATATTTCAATCCTCCAAATGTGCTGATTGATGAAATCCTTTCTCTTAAAGGCAATTTGGAAATCAGACAAAGTAGAGCACAAAGCCGTGGATGTTTAGAGAGGGAGTGAGCAGTGTGTGAGACCGGCTGAAAGGGTGACCCTGGCACTTCTAAGAAGGCAGAGCACAATGGACTCTTGGAAAGAAGCAGTGTCAGTTTATTCCCGCGTTGGCACCGCCCCCTCAGTGGGGCGGAATTGCTTGTTTTCACCCTCCCTTCCCTGGAGTCTTTCAGACCAAACTTGTGTCCACAATTGCTAGCAATCTGAACCCAGAGTCACCTACGGACAGGTATTTTATGAAGGCCCAAACACTGTGAAAGATATGAATAGGGGCGTGGATATGACAAGAGACTTTCCTCCCGCCCCTGGGACGTGGAGCACGGGGGAGAGGGGACCTGGTAGCCTGTGACTTTGCTCCGATCACTGCAGCAAGGCTGCGGCACCGACCGGCTCGAAGGGGCCCGAGGTCCGTGGCCCTGGGACGGGGAGAGGAGGGAGTGGTACCGAGGCCTCGCCACGCTGGACGCAGCAGGCCCGGGGGGAGCGCCGGCTGTAGGGCGACGTGCCTGGGCCTGTAAATCACCGCCGGGAGCCCTCCCACCCCGTGCGGTACAGTCGGGGATGGGGTGCGGCGGGTGGAGGGATGCAGTGCCAGCGTCTGCAGGGGAGGGGTGTTGCTGCCTTCCCTGGGAGACCCGACCTTTCTCGGAGAGGCGTGGTGAGCTTGGCCTCCGGGATCCGCAGGGATGTGTAAAAACCGGCTACGACCCCCGAAGCCGCAGAAAGCGCCCGCCCCTCCCCCCGAGGCCCACCCCGGCTCGCAGGTGAATGGCTGGCCCGCACAAAGGAAGCCGGTTGGAAATGTGGAATTCGGACCAATTTACGGGAGATTCTGTCGCCCAGAGTCCAGCAGACCTCAAGCAAAGAAACCTGTGGTCAGGAGTGGATGAGGATAAAAAACAGTACACCAGGCCGAGCTTATTGGAAAGCCCGAGTTTATTCTGGGATAGCGAGGTAACAGGATTAGAGGGATTAAGGAAATCACCTCAAACAGCTGAGGAGGGGGTAAAAAAACACTGGTTCTATTTGTTTTCTTCCTAGGCCCCAGATACACTGGGGCCGTGTGGCCAGGCGCGAAACGAAAGGCCTTTCGGGGGGCACAGTGGAATGCCCAAGGGTCAGGGACGGAGGGAGAGTAGGGGGAGGGAGGGAGTCGAAAGCGGGCTCGAGGCTTGGGATGAGAGGGAGTCTCTTCTAGAAAACAAATCAGTGGACTGGGTTGACAAGTCAAAAAGAAAAAGCCATCGAAGGAGTTTGAGAGACCTTTTAAAATCTAAGGTGGACTTTTAAAAACCACACCTTCCAGCGTTGAATGCTGGCTCCGGCCGCTTCACCCACCACGGTTGAAATATATATTCGTTTCCTGCCAGGGATTCCTGTAATTATTTGTGTTTAATAGGCTAACTGATATTTCCGAAGGGTTTTCGTTTTGTAAATCGTTCAGCTTGGCTCAAGTGTCTTCCCGCCCCAGTGCACAAAGGTAAATGTGCCCCTTTGGAGGCCGGTTTCCGCGGCCGCGGCGGCCCCTCCCCGCCCCGCGTGGCCGCCGCCGCGATCAACAAGTGCGTGGCCGCGGGGTGCCTGCCTCAGCCGGCGTGTGCTCGCTCCTAGGAGACGCTCCCAGGAAGACAAATCGCTTTCTCCTCGGAGTTTCAGTTGAAAATATCGGGAGCCTCTCTCTGTGTTTGGGCTCACCGGTAGTTAAAAAGGAACCATTTCAGGTCACACAAGCCTCTCCCCAGCCTCCCACCGCTGGCCCCGGCATGGGACCCCGGCATGGGTCGTAATACCGAGTGATGGTCTCCTCCCTAAGCCGCATCTAAAGTTTCAGGCCCGCAAAATTACCAGGACTCCATTATGTTGGTTATAAAATTTATTGATCTCTCATTTAGGAATTCGGAGTAAAACCTTGAAAAACCTGAAACAAAATAGACCCTTATCCCCACCACCCAAACGAAATCCAAATACGTTAGCGCGACGAAATATCAAACAGATCACGGCAGAAATCACCAACTCAGTAGCCTAAATGCTGACTGGACAGAAGCTGTCCCGCGGCCAGGGGCGGCGAGGCGGGAGACACACGCACACCTGGCTATAAATTAACATCTGCTTTGGCTGCCGCGCCGCTCCGAGCGGTCAGCGCCCCGCCCCCCACCCCCCGCAAAGCCCACGAGGAAAACAGATGCAACGCTACTGGGGGAGGAGGCGTTGCAGTTCTCAGGCTAGCCTCACCAGAGAGTATGTTTCTCCCATCCACTCACTCGGCTAACAGCAAACTAACGAAACAACATTTTCAAATGCAACAGAAAAACCCAGGAACCCAGGAGGAGAAGGGGGGTGCTGCTTTTTCTTTGCAAACAACACAGCGATTCCCAGCCTACAAAAGGGGAGGGAGGGGCAACGGAGAGAGGCAGGCGAGCTCGAGAAAGTCCCATTTCCGCCACTCCGGACTCCTTTTTGCTTTTGTACAAAACCCGACAGCTATAGCAAAACTTTCTGTCCTCCCCATCATCGATACAAGGCAACAGTCCCAGGCAAGCAAAGCTAAACAACAAGGCGTCCCAACTCGGGGGTGCGGGGCGGGGTGGGGCGGAGGAGCGGCGAGCGCAGGCCGGTGCTCAGATGTGGGTCAGCGGCACCGTTCCGTTGACGGCAGTCCCGGCGCCCTGGTAGTGCTGGTGCACGCTGTGCAGGCGGCCGCCCGGCAGCGGCGAGGCGGCGTCAGCCGCGTCCCCGCCGGGCGGCAGGTACATGCTGATCATGTCGCGCAGGTCGCCGAGGCACGCGCGCTGCGAGTGCGACGCGATGGCGGGCGGCGGCGAGCTGGGCTCGGTCTTCACCACCGTGCCCATGGGGCCCAGGCTCATGGCGGCGGCGGCCGCGGCGGCCGCGGCGGTGGCTGGCTGCTGCCCGTAGGCGGCGGCGGCGGCGGCGGCGGCGGCGGAGGGCGCCATGCCCCCGTAGCCCGAAGCGGCAGCCGCGGCGGCGGCGGCGTTCATGTAGCTCTGGGCGCCGGGCGGCATCATGGGGCTGTACTGCAGGCCGGCCATGTCGTAGCGGTGCATCTGCGGCAGCGCGGGCGGCGGCGGCGGGCTGCTCATGGTCGCGGGCTGCGCGTAGCCCAGCTGCTCCTGCACCAGCGAGTACGCGCCGTTGGCCCAGCCGTTCACGTGTGTGTACGTGTCCAGGCGCTGGCCCACGCCCACCGGGCTGCTAGCGGCGGCGGCGGCGGCAGCGGCGGCGGCGGCGGCCGCGGCTCCGGGGGGCAGCAGGCCGCCGGGCAGGGAGTACTTGTCCTTCTTGAGCAGCGTCTTGGTCTTGCGGCGCGGCCGGTACTTGTAGTCCGGGTATTCTTTCATGTGCACGGCGCGCAGCCGCTTGGCCTCGTCGATGAACGGCCGCTTCTCGGCATCGGTCAGCAGTTTCCAGTCGGCGCCCAAGCGCTTGCTGATCTCAGAGTTGTGCATCTTGGGGTTCTCCAGAGCCATCTTGCGCCGCTGCCCGCGGGACCACACCATGAAGGCGTTCATGGGCCGCTTCACCCGGTCCTGGTCACTGCCCCCGCCGCCGCCGCCGCCGCCGCTCGCGCCACCGCCGCTGCCGCCGCCTGCGTTCGCGCCGCCGCCTGCGTTCGCGGTACTCTTGCCTGCACCGCCCGGGGCTGCGGGGCCGCCCGCGCCTGCAGCTGGGGTGGGTGGCCCCGCGGGGTTCTTGAGTTCAGTCTCCAGCAGGCTGTACATGGCCTGGGCGGGAAGAAGGTGCGCCAGGGTGGCGGGAGGAGAAGGCGCTCCCGGGGCTGGAGCGGCCACGGTGAAAAGGCCTGGGGACTCCGTCGGAGGGGCGCTTGGGGGCCGGTGGGCCAGTGGGTCGGGCAGGAAGGGCAGTCTTGCCGAAGTGCTCAGCGCCAAATCAGCGGGAACCTGCAGGCTACTCGCACCTGATGCGTTGTCTCGGGCTGTTCGCATTCGCAGTCTGGCCGGGCGCTCTCCGGGCCTCTTATATACCTGCTCGGATCCCCCGGGGTTGGGGCTCGGTCCGCCCCTCGCTCCCGGGAGGCCCGGTGATTGACAGGCTCGCAGTGGTGCGCCCTAGCCAATCATCACGGAGCCGCCGTTCGGCCCCGCTGGAAAAAAAAAGTTCGGGGAGTCCTTTCGTTCACCCCCACGCCCCTCTTGGGCCCGGTGACGTGATGAGAGTTATTCAGGAGGCGGGAGTCCCGGGGAGCCGCTCAGAGACCACCAATTAGGGTCTCAAAAAGTTTGAAAGAACGAAACTCGAGGAGGTGACGGAGGGGGGAGGGGGAGCGCGAGCAGGTTTGGGGGGGCAGGGGGCGCCCACGGGGTTCAGAAAACAACTTTGCAGTCCTGTCAGTGACGAGAGGCGTCCGGTCCCGGGTCCACCCTGCAAAGCTTCCCGCTGTCTGCGCGGAGGTCCTCTGACCGCTTCTGCTGCCAGCGTTAGGGACACTAGGCATAGCCAGCTACCCAGGCGGGCTTGGGGACTCAGGGCGCAGCGGAGGTACCCCGGGCTGCGGCTCCGAGAAGCCCTCCCAGGAATCGGCTCCTGTCCAGATGGACCCTCCGCTGGGAAGCCTCGGGCCAGCGCGCCCAGTACAGAGCGGGGGTCAGGGACCCGGGCTCGGGAGACAGGCTTCGGGACCGCGGAGCGCACGGGGGCAGCGAGGCTCCCGGTGGTTTGCGGGAGGGCGAGCAGTCAGACGCCCGCTGCCCCGGCCGGGCGGAGGCGCTCCCCTGCGGTGGTGCGACGAGGCGTGTGTGGGGGGCGGAGGGGGTGAACCGGCTTCGGCTCTCTTCTCCGGGCCCCCGCTTAGCGGCCCCTTTTTGTCTCTGCTCTCTGGCCATTTCGGTTTTTCCAGTCCGATGCCCCTGAGGGGGAGGGTCGGGCCCCTTGGAAAATCCGTTTTCATGGCAACACAGAGCCTCTCCAAGTGAAAGAAAAGTTTCTTGGAGGGGGGGGGACGGTGGCCGGAGAGGAGCCGAGGCCGTCCTCCGGGCGAACCGCAGGGCCCCCTCCACTGGCCGCGCACCTGCCAGGACCACTGAGCGCTGCTCTCGCTGCGCAGCCGCGCGGCCTCCCCGGGGAAAAGGCTCTGCTTAACGGATTCCGTCCTTCTCCTTTTTTGTTTTACAGCCTTCCTGACCAGAGCCTCGAGACGCGAGACTCAGAGCGCGACATCACCCGCCTGTCGGGTTGTCTGCCAGACTAGCGGCGCGGGAACGCGGGCTGCGGGGAGAGGGAACCCCCGACTGCCGCCGCCGCCAGCCCAGGCGAGTGGCACAGCGTTTGAAACTCCCGGAGCCTCCGGGGGCGACGGGTGGGAAGGAGAAGCCAGGGGGTAGAGGTGGCAGAGACTGAAAGAAGGTGTTCGCACGGTGTGGCCCACCAAACCCCTAGCCTCGTGGAAAGGTGGGGAACCAAAAGAAAGGCGTAAATCCTAAGTGTGAAAAAAAAACCAAACCTAGGTTTTTAGCCCCTTAGTGCTAATGCAAGACCCGGCGATCCTGGGAAGCCTGCACGCCAGGAATGTCCCCCTTTCTTGCACAAATTTTAAAGTAAGCCGTTGTGGCTTGGGGGACGCGGAGAAGGCCAGCCCGCCCTGGGGCCGGCGGACCGCTGGCACCAGAATCCAGGCTCCCAGCAGCAACGCCTCCTGGAAGTTTGGGGTCTCGAAACACTCCCCTAAAGTTTGGATTCCTCCTGGTCTACGTTCTCTTGCTCATCTGGACGGGGGTGGGGGGAAGCAAACGCATAGGGTCAAGGGCTGTGATCATTTGAAATGGGTGTACGGATTTAGGGTTTTAAAGTAAACTATCTGGGATGGTTATGTGTATGAGTCGTGTGTGTGTGTGTGTGTGTGTGTGTGTCTGCACGCGGGCACGGGTATGTATACTTCAGCTTACACGGACTGGAAGGCAAGTCTCAGAAAACGGAATGATTCGCCAATCCCCACCTGCACCTGTTTTCTTGCCAACTGGCTGACACAGTCAAAATTTCCTAGGCAAACCCACCTTCTCCCAAAGAAGTCAATGTGCAGTAGCCCTGCCCTCCTGCCGCCTTCTCCAGATGCCCTCTCGGGTTCTCTGGGCCTCTGAGGCTGTTGCTAAGTGAAGCGCGTTTTAGGAAACTACCCAACCGACGCGCGGCCTGGCGTCCAGTAGCCTGACAGATGTCAGGATTCTTTCCAAGTTTTAGGACCCAAGTAAGCCGTTGTGGTGACAGCGCCCGGGCTGCGTATTTCCCTAGGCAAGGGATGCAGTGCGGGGCCTGCGCTCCTCCCGGCAGCAGATTATCCGGGGAACTAGTCACTGCTCCCAGCTGTTTGTCACTTGATCACACCTACCCCGCGGTTTAGGTAAGCTCATTTTCACATCACCTCCTTCTGCCAGATTTACGGCAGTCTTGCAAGGATCAGACACCCTCTTCCACACTCCTGGCTTCCCTTGGAGGCCGTGATTAAACCGCTCTCTGTGCCCGTTAGCTCGGGTGGTCTGCACAGCCCCATGTAAGAGTCACACCGAATTATCTTCGAAACATTTCCGAGGAAACGTTCTCAGCCCAAAGTACCATTTCAATAATCAAGCGAGGTTAACATTATGGGCGTGGGGAACTGGGGGCAAGGCAGGAAGGAAACCCGTTCTCTTAGCACACTAGCAGTACCGGCACAGTCACCAGCCGAGAGGCGCGACCTTCGCTGGGGGTCGGGAGAAGTGTCGCGGCAGGTACTATGGCCCGAGGGTCTTCCGGGGCCTGCGGGGAGGCAAGACTGCCAGCGGAGCCCGAACCGGTGTTTCCGACACGCACCCTGCACCCAGTGAGGAAAGCAGAGGGACACAGTGGGGTTCAGGACCAGTCCTTTCCACCCTCTGCGGGAGAAGAGAGCGTGTTGAGCAGCTCTCTCGCCCTTGGGGCCTCCGAGAGCCCATGGGCGGCATACAGAGCCCCGGACGGCGGGCTGGGAACCCGGCCAAGCACCCCCTCCCCCTTCTCCCCGCCCTCCCAAGAGATCTCCGGCTCCCTCGTACTGGGGCTGGGCCTGGGGCTTCCAGGACCCAGGGCGCGGCAACAGCGCCGTTTGTTGGCTTCGGTTGGAAACTTCACCCAGAGGCGCCCCTTCCCTCCCTGCGGGGCTTGGAGGTCGCCCCAACCCTCCAAGGAGCGGCAGCAGGCTTCGCTGCGGGGCAGAAGTGGGGCTCGCTTTAGAGGGCCGATTATGGCTAAACTCGGGGGACCCAGGCTCTAGCGTGGGTGGCCCGGCCGCCGCCGGGCACCTAGGGCGCTTCCACTCTGCCTTCCTCCGGTCTCGAGCCTTGGCAGAAAGCCGGCGTCCCAAGAGCCTCATAGCTGCAAAGTAAACTTTTAACAGTTGTGCCTTGGAGCTACTGGTAGAGAGCCGAGCAGAGGAGGGGGCTGTCCCAGTACTCGCGCTGGGGTGCCCGCGTGGATCCCTGCTCAGCAACTGCTCAAGGGGGTCCTTTTTCTGAGTCTGCGGCTCGATTAGGACCCCCGCCTCTCAGAAGATGCGCCCTTTGCGTGCGGGGTGGGATGGGATAGGTGTGTATCAGTGTCCGCTCCGGGGGCCGAGGCCTGACAATAGAGTCGAGTGTTCGCTTTTTTTCAAGTGCAGCCGAGCCCAGCGAGGGGTCTGGCTTTGAGGAAGTGCGAAGAACTTATCCTGGCGACCCTCAGAAACGCTTTGCTTTTCAGCAGGAAAAAAAAAGTTTTCTTATCTAGAGACAGCTTTTCCTATTTCTTCCTTGAGAACAACCCGACTATTTACTCTGGCTCCTGGCCAAGAGGGTGTATTTAGGCCACACATTGAGGGCCTTGATCAAGAAATCAGAGGCTTGGGTCTATTGTAAAATCATCTCCTGAAAAAGGTCGGAAAGGTCACCAGCAGTCCAGCGGGGGTGGAAGAAGCAGCACAGAACCTCGAGCTCTAGCTCTCGGTTTGATCCTCCTCCCCCAGTCCACCCCAGCCCCTCGCAGCTCCCAATGAAACACTCGTTCTTGCAGGTCTGGGAAGGAGCTGAAGCTCCCTAGGTTGGCGGTGCAGTGTGCAAAAAAGAACATGGTTAATATTCTCCAAGGAAATGTTACAAGGAGCTTCGGAAGTGCGTGGTGCCAGGACCCTCGAGGTATCAAAAAGTCTCCGGCGGGCGGTTCAATATGTTCTGTTGCACTTTGCTGTAGCCCTTTTCAGGAGGGAGGGTGTGCTTTTACAAGAGTTTCGAATTCGATTCCCTTGGTTAGCTGAGCTGTACTTGGTAGATACTGGGAATCCCCTTGGCTCACATCAGGCGAGTCCTTTCACCCGCAGGGTATGACGATACGAATGCCAGCTCTCTTTGCCCTAGGTGCGGAGCGACTACGAGGAATTTGACAATCTTTGCCTTCAGTGCCCTCTCGCTGACCTCACAACCCGAACACTGCCAAACAACCCGAATACCGCCACCTCCCCGAAGGAAGGAAGGCTCTGCCCGGGAACTGGGTCCCACTTGCAGAGCGTCTTCCGGGTCACTGCCGTCGACCTCTTCGCCTCTCCCCGCCCCCCCCCAAGCCCACAGCTCTCCGCACTCGCTCAGCCCTCCAAGCTGCTGCACCCGCCCCCCTGCGGAGCAGCCTCTCGGCACCCGGCACCCAAAGGCCAGGCTTGCCCTCCCGCTGGGACTGTCGCCTTTCCCACTTCCTTCAGTGGCTGCAAAGGCATGGCCCTCTACGGCGGCGAGGTGGCCTGCCAGAGGCCAGGCCAGGGAAAACAATCTAAAAATCGTTATCAGTGCATAACGCTGCTTGAGTTATTCCAAGTCCCCGCAGTTCCACACGCTTATTCAGACCGGGGGGCCCGGGTCCATTGGGCCGGCAGTGCTTCCCGGGGAAGGGTGCCTGTAATGTCGCTGGACCTTCAGGCACCTCCAGTGTGACCGGGCAAGCCCATCGGCCCCAGCCGTAGGGGGCGCAGTATGGCGGGCTGGGGGCTGGGGAGAGCGCCCTGGA